TTGAATAAAACTGGGATAAAATTGCTACTTAAAAAAGTTTCAAATATTATATGCATATATATTAAGTATCAAAAACTCATATAACTTGAACAAAAATGACAAATAAAAAAAATTTATACGTAGATTGACAAAAATAATAACAATAAGCAATAAATTAATCATTTTATTTATTTCAATAATCATAATATTTATTGCAGCCAAAAAGTATTATGATTACGGTTTTCTAAGTATTTGGAATATTCTATTACCTTTTAAAATGATTATAATCTGAATAGCTATTCAATATCAATTTTTGAGCTTTGACTAGTATATATATATAATGGTAAACTGAATTCTAGTTATATATACATGTTAACAAGCAACTTTATACTCATTAATATTTTACTATATAAGGTAAATAAACAAACTACATTTATAAAATTGAAATTATTAAACTTAATATATAAATTAATAAATGCATTATCATTATATATATATTTATATCAGTACGATTAAAAAAAATCTAGTATATAATAATACAGTAGAATCGTTCATCGTAACTAGTTACAACATAATTACAGCTTAAGCTATAATACTATTAGGATACTTTATATTTATGGGCAAATATATAAAGCAAATGAATTAAATATACTGTATATATATTAATCATTGGCCAACTTGCTATTAATTATAAATGACCAAATAATACACAACAACACAGGGTATTATTTTACTAAAATGGCAGTAGGGTTCCTCAAATATTTGATTTGATATTTGATATGATTTAACGCGATTTGAGTTACACTATATAAAATATAAATTATTCAATTAAATACTCTAAAATGATGATAGTACCTATAGATACTATCATCATTTTAGAGTATTTAATTAAATAATTTATATTTTATATAGTGTAACTCAAATCGTGTCAAATCACATCAAATATTAAATCAAATATTTAAGGAACCCTAAATGGCAGTTTTAACTAGTTAAATTAAGGTTAAAATTAGTATAATGTAATTGTAAGTTACTATAGTAAGTTATTGTAAGTTACTAACAAATAGGTAACTTACCATGTAACTTATCATGGTAAGTTACCACTAACAATCCTGATAATCAGATTGCGTAATTTAAACTTTTAAAACAATAATATATAAGGAAATCATTTTTAAGAAAAGTTATTTTTAGAAATTAATTGAAAAGATTTTCTCTTTGTGCATATCTAGAGTACATATCTGTGCCTAAATGTTGGATCAGGCAGATTAAAAAAAAACAATATAGTGAACCTATATGTCAAGCTGTTACATCGGTATCATTAAGTCTGTTAAAAAAAAATTGACAAATTAGATAAGACCACCAAGGTAGCTATTACAGTAATTACAACCAAATTATTTCATAATAGTAATGAGTTCTTTATCTATACAATCAAAAGAAATTGTACCAAGCTATGATAATGACTATGATAATAGCTACAATAATGGCTACAATAATGATTACAATAATGATTATGATAATGACTGTGGTAATGATTATGATAATAATACTGTTAGTACAGATAGCAAGTGAAATAATAGAAGCGATATGTAGGACTTTTTTAGAAAGGTTGTATAGCAAAAAGAAAAGAAAATAGCAAAATATAGAATATTAAATTGCTCTCACAAGAAATTTTCTTGTAGACATGGGGCTTAACTACAACATTATACCATCATTTAGAAAGTGCTCACCAGGCTCAGTATGTTAAAACAGAGAAATATTGCAAAAAAATTAAAAAGGTACAAGATGAATGTGGTATCATTGAGAATATGTTCAGGAAAATAGGATTTTGCTAGTACTCCACAAAATCAAATTTTAAATTTGAATCAAATATTTGAAATTATTTGATCAAATTGTTGATTAATTTGATCAAATTATTTTAATTATTTGATTCAAATTCAAAATTTGATTTTTTTTGTTTTTTTACTTTTTTAGAATGATCTAATTTGAACTTATGTAGAATCCTGAAGATCTCTCTTCGATTAAGTTGGCTAGTGTTAATAATATGAGACTTCAGAATATGTTTGCCATCTAGATTGTTAATCATCAACACCCACTTGCTATAATTGAAGATCCTGAATTAATCGAGATTATAGAATATTTGAATCCTATAGCAAAATTAGTCAAGGCAAATAAAATCAAAAATGTAATCATGTCATTTTATAATACAGGAAGACAAGAATTAAAGACAAGTTTTATAATTATGATATATTTATATAGGTTAAATAATTTTATTAAATTTAAATTACAAAAATATTTTATTTATAAGCTTAATTTTAATATACATTTACTTAATTTTTTTTATACAAAAAAAAAAACAACTCTTTCCAACAATCTTCTGGACAACATAACAAAAACTGAACTACAGAAAATGATATAGAAGGTTGCAAGAAAACTACTATTACGGCCTTGTCTTTGAGTAAACAGTTGTCAATGAAGTTTATAAACATGAAATACCAGAGAGTGGGCGTAACTTGGGTGATTTTTCTTGGGGTCAAGCTTTTTGCTAATTTAGGTGAACTCCTCAAGATATTTGGCATCCAAACTAGAAGAGTATTTTGAAAACTGAATTTACTTCTGAACAGATTGCTGTCGATGAAGTTAAAAGATATGAAACACCGAAGAGCAGATATATCTTATACGGTTTTTTTTAGGATCAAGCTTTGTCTAGTTCAGTAGACTCCTCAAGATATTCAGCATCTAAACTAGAAGGTTTATTCTAGAAGCAAGTAGTGGAAAGGCTCTCACTGTAATAGTAATAATCTTGAAATTAACTATACAACTATAAAACTTACAGAAAAACTTTACACATTCTCGTTGGCCCCCACTTTTTTTTCAGAGAAAATTTTGTAAAAAGTGGGCGA